ATTGACTAATTCAACCCCCAGGTCGGTTCCCAGGTAGAGGTGTTCCCTTACGGTCAGCTTAAATACCTCAGCCTAGACAGAATCTTCCTCAGACAGGGTTCCCTTATAGACAACATTTTATATTTAGTCTTTTGTTATTTCATTTTAAACATAGTTAAAACAAAATAAAAGACTACTCCCTAATCACATTAGAAGATATAACCTAAGGTCTAATTAATTTTAAACCCCTTTAAAATTAATTAACTTAGACCTTATGTTTGCATGCAACTCTTTATTATAGATTTTAATTTCTATCTACCACATTTTATAACTCTTATAAAATTTTAAGAAATTAAAACTATAAACATGCATTGAAAGCATACATTAATATAACAATTATATTATCCAAAATAATGTCATGCTCAATGCAACTTTATTTTCATATAATTAATACAACACTTACATTAATTATGAAAAAAAAAACATGCATACATACAATATAACATTTATAACTATATGATGCATGACCATACATACATACTATATATCAAACATACATATTATGCATGTAACCTATGGTGGGATTTTAAAACTATATGGCATACAATATGCTATATGATTTTAATTAAAATACACATTCATAATGCATAAAATAATTAAATAGCAAAGTTGGAACGGTTTTTGGCACCATAAGAAAACGAAATAATACAAAATAAGAAAACCGACTGCATCCGCCCTCGAATTGCGAACCGGAGCCTCGGAACCGCGTCGAAAACACCCGGGACAGCGCCTCGGCGCCTAAGGGCAGCGCCGCGACGCTCTGTGCTGTCCCGCAACGCCATGGCGTTGCTGCATAGCGCCATGACACTGTCTGCGCAGTCTGCTTTGTCTTCTTCGCTGTTTTCGCCCAATCAGACGCCACGAACGACTTTTGAGAGACCCAGACTTACAAAAACAATACAGAAACTAAATGCCCAAAACATCGGGCCCTTACATGATCAAATCACGAAGAAACACGCTATCTAAATACCAAAAACCGGAAATTTTCCAACCCGCAAACCCATATTTCGAAAATATGAAATCACCCACCAAACTCAACGATTTTGATCCCAAAAAATTAGAACTACAATCTGGCTCTGATACCAATTGAAGGGATGCGAATCCCGGAGCGGAAGCAGATTTTCGTTGCTGATTTTAGGGATACAAAATAGAAATTGAAAGAGGGAAAATACAAAGGAAATACGAACCTTTGAAGAACGTTTCTTCAACGAGTTTCCCTCGAACACCACCACTGTATCTTCCTCGCTATCCTCTTGGGTCTCGGGATCGTGCTGGTGGGAGCAATCCTTTGGAACGAGAGGGAGAGCTTGAGAGAGAAATGGTTGGGCGTTGTTCTTCTTATGTTCTGTGTTTTGCAGAACTGCAAAAACAAAACAGAAGCAGTGACGTGGGGTAACTCCCCACGTCACACTAACCTCCCACTCCCCTGCAATTTTGCAGGGGAGTTTAATATTATTAATATTAATAATATATATATATATATATATAATATAATAATAATTATAATATATATATRTAATAATTAATATATATATATAAAATTAATTAATCAAATTAATTAATATAAATAATTATTAATCCAATTAATAATTAATAAATATATATATATACATAAATAATTAACACTTAATTATTT